AAAACAGGCAAAATATGTGAATAAGTACTTTCTAATACATATGAATGGCTAATCAGCATGTAGAATTATGTTCAAAATCATTATTGTTAAAGTGCAAATTTGAAATACAATGGGATATGTCTATACACCCACCAAAACAGCTACATCCCAAAAGACCAACAATATCAAGCCTTGGGGACAATACGGAAAAGCAAACCTGCATGAGCTTGAGGAAATGTAAAATGGTGTAATGGCTTTTAAAGTATGTTGACTACATATTCAAGTTTTAAACATAGCCTTAGCCTACAAGCCAACAGATACTTACAGATTCATCATCTATTTACAATAGCCAGACAGTCCAAATGTTCATGATAACAGAATACTGTTGGGCAATGAAAAGGAATAAATGTCTTATATAAGGAAAAAGTGAATGATCCTCAAAAACATTATTCTAAATTAAGAAGCTAGAGGGAAAAAATGAGAAAAGACAAATCTATAGAGAGAAATAGACAAGGGTTGCCAGGAAGTGGAGGCAGACACGAGGCTTGCCTATAAATATACCTCAGAGACTGTTTGAGGGTGACAGAAATACACTAAACTGGATAGTGTGATGTCTCACACTTGCACAAGTACTCTGAAAATTGCTGAACTACAGTAACAAGAGATGGATTGCACGATGTGTGAGTTTTGCTGAAGCTATTTAACAAGAAAGAACAGAGGACATTGTAAAGACTTGTCCTGGCTCTTCAGTGGGGACTGTATCTCAAAACTGTTGCCCAGCTGATAAGAAAATATTACAGGAGTCCCAGGTAGAGACTGTTTCTAGATATCATAGGTGCTTGTGTGCTTCTCCTGCTTTTTCTTTATTTCTGTTTTTTATTCTGCTTTTTGAGAGGGAGTGCCTACTTGTTTAAATGCTTAGAGTTGAATGGTTGGAGAGGAGGAAAGTATCTGGAAAGAGTTGGGGGATGAAAAGTATGATCAGAATATATTATATGAAAAAAATTATTTTCAATTTAAAAAATAAAAATAAAGAAAAAAAATTACAGAGTCTGTAGAGATGGTTCACTAGGCAAAGCACTTCCCATACAAGCTAAAGACCAGAGTTCAGTTCCCCCTGGAACCCAGAAAAAAGGCCTGTGGGAATGGTGGTGCCCACCTGTAACCCCAGCAGGCAGGAGGCTGAGACATGTGATCCCCAGAACAAGCCAGCCAGCAGATCAGCCTAAAGTGCAAGCTGCAGGGTTAGTGGAAGGAGGGACCTGTCTCAATATATAACATGGAGAGTGGTCCAGGAGGACACTAGATATCCACTTCTGACCTACACACATACACACACACACCACAAACTGTAGTTGGTAAACATAAAAGAATGGTGTATTATAAAAATAAGCTTTCCAACCCCTAGTGAAAAAGATGCTTCTCAGTGGATGCTAAGGCTACTAGATCAAAAGCTGATAAGAAAGTTGTGGTAGAGTTTCAGAAAAATGCTGCCTAGAACCAAAATGACCAATCTCTGCATCACTAAGGATATTCATATCCCTTGACATGATACAATAAGCACACAACAACTATCAAGGACTCCTGCCAAATAACAAAGTGAAGTGAAATAATCCTGAATCCAAACACCCCCAGTTCTAATTGGCAGCTTACATAATACAATCAATAAACAAGCTAAACAGAGTTTTGGTAAGGAAGCAATTAGCCAATATAAAAGATAGGACATTCTGAAGAACCTAGTTTTTAAAACAAACAGAAAACTGTGGAACACCATTACAGACAAAAAGAAGCTAAAGAAATAGCCATATAACATGAGCACGAAAGCCTGCAAAGATCCTCATTTTTTTAATAATAAAAATTAAATATGACAAATTAAAAAATAACACACTGAAATTGTATAAAACAAACAGGAATAAAAGGCACAAAAAACAGATCCACAACTTTTTCCATATTCAGGATTCCATGAAAACATTAAGCTGGAAACCATGGTGAATATGCGACAGAACCGGTGCTGCTCCACGCAGGCCCTGAGCTCGCTGCCTGAGTATATGTGAGCCCGGGTGTGCACTGAGCATGGTCATTTAAATCAGTGGTTGCTCCTCTTCCTAATGCTGCAACCTTTTAACATGGTTCCTCGTGTTGTGATGATCTCCAATCTTTGCATCATTTCATTGCTACTTCGTAACTATAATTTTGCTACTGTTTTGAATCGTGATGTAAATATCTGACATGTGGCCTCTAAAGGGGTTGAGATGCACTGATTTAAAGGGTGTTGCCTTTATGTGTGTCCTCCATCTGCTCTTCCCTTCCTCTCCTCTGTCTCCTCTTCTGCAGCTCTGGGGAAGGGATTTGCTGGAAACATCTCTTTTAGGGCTGAATGGTCCATGGTCTCTGCACAGTGTCTGTCTGGTTCTCTGAATTTGTCCCCATCAGCTGCAGGAATAAGCTTCTCAGATTATGAATGGGCAAGGCGCTGGTCTATGAGTATAGCAGAATGTCACTGGAACTCATTTTATTGCAAACAGTATATTTAAAAAAGTAGTTTCACCATAGGTCTCTGGGCTATGGTCCTCGGTCACCCAAGCAGTGCCTCCATGGGTTTGATCTCATGACGTGGGCCCTAAGTCAAATGGGTTATTGGTTGGTCACTCCCACGAACTTTGCTCCATCATTGCACTAGTACATCTGGCAGACAGGACAGCATTACGGGTCAAGGCCTTTGTGGCTGGGTTGGTGTTTATCTCTTCTGATAATGAGAAGAACACCTTCTGTACCAAAGACACTGCGGCAATGTGGTTCTGTAGTCAGTCTGTGGAGAGGAACCCAGTACTAGAAACTTCATTTGGTAACAAGGCCAGTTGGGCCTCTCTCTCCCCCATTATTTGGTGACTTCATTTAGATGACCTTCATATATGTCTATGAAGTTGCTATGTATTTGGTTTCCATACAGCCCTCAAATGGCCCTTAATTTTAATTCTCTCTCCCTATATTCCTCCCTCAACCCTCTTCTCTACACTTTTCCACATAATTTTTCCATTTCAGTCCATCCACAATTCATAATTGTCTATACTATTTCCTTTCCTAGAGAGATGTATCTGATAATCAAAGTTCCCTGCTCTATACCTACCTTCTGTGTTTCTACAGACTATAGCTTGGTTATCATCGAATTAACAGATAATATTCATGTATACGCAAATACAGACTATATTTGTCTTTCTAGGTCTGAGATTACTCACTTAGGAAGATTTGTTTCTATTCATATAACTGCTGATTTCATGATTTTGTTTATTTTTTTAATTATACTTTATTTACTTTGTATCCCCCCCTCTAGTTTCCTCCCTCCTCCCCTCCCAAGCCCTCCCTTCCTCCCCCTTCTCCACACACTCCCCTCCTCATTTTAAGAAACTAACTTTAAAAAGACATTTACGGACAGGTGAGGAAATGGAACACTGACTGAATGTTTGGCTTCACTGGCGAACTGTTGGTTTTGTTAGGTGTGGCGACAGCGCAGTGCCTGTGCCTTTATCGACACACCTGCAGTGCAGTGACACCATGTGGACAATAGGCGTTAAACAGCCCAACTGCACTGCAGGTGGCCAGCAAGAACACAACGTCAATGAAACCTCAAAAATCATTGCATCAAGGCGATCGCATCACTCCAACGAGGGGAGTATTCTCTCTACTCAGTGCATTTTTCATTTTCCACGTTAGAAATCATTAGAGAACAGAGAGGACTGTACAACAGGAAAGAGGGTGAAGGTTGCTGTGGAAGTCATCTGGGAAGTGACACACAAAGCCAAACTAAATGTCACAAAGACAGAACAAAATACAGAGATATGAACAATAGAATACAAACACTTGAGGATATGAGAGAGGGTAAATCTGAAAGGGCATTAAAAAGCAGAATTTCACTTCATGAGTAGAGGCTGAAAAAAAAAAAACCTGATGTAGGGAAATCATGACACTTTTCAAATAATAATATCTGTAAGTAGTAATCTGATGCCCTAAAATTTCTGACCAAAAAGCAAGGAAAATATTGTTTCTTTCAATGGAAAAATTTCAACATGAGATAAATGGTTGCCCTCGATGCTTCTAATATATGCTCTTCCAGATAATGAACAAGATGTCCAGGAAATATCAAATGTATAGGCCTACAGGCAACAATAGTCACTGAGCTTGTATACCAGTGGAAAATACGTCAGGTCCTAGAAATGAAGTAACAAGATACTGTCCCCCTTTCACCGTCCCCCTGCAAAGCATTCTCTGGATAAGTCACTTAACCATAATTCCCATGAAAACAAGCAGGCAGGCTTGTTTGCAGCCTCTATCCTGAGATGTAAGCTTGGTGCCGGGTTCCCCTGGGGGTGAAGAGTGAGGGGAAGCTTGATGGGAGGCAGAGTGACAGGCAGCACCAGCACTGCTGGCCTTTTGGGGTTCAGAGATCAGTGTGTAAGCTGAGACCCTTTCAGCTTTCAAACATAAACATCAGCCCTCCATTTCACAACCAGAGCCTCAGCAGGCTTGTCCCAAGTGTGCAGCTAGCACCGCTGTCCATGTAGCTTTTCCCAGCTGAGCCCTACAGTAGTGAAGAACGTACTGTCAAGCCAAGCCTTGAGGAATAAACGATACCTACTGAGGAAAAGGCACTGATATGTTCAGCCAGGCTACCTTAAGCTTCTGTGAGTCTCTTGACTTTCGTGATTCTTACATTGAATAGTTTTGTTTACAAGACAATGCTCCACCTATTTCCTCCATCAGAACTCTTCAAACCTCTTGATCAAAAATATTTAAGTCATTCTTTATTTGAAAAAGAAAGAAGAAAAGGTCTCGGTTCATCCACAGCAAAAATGTAAGTGCTTTACTGTTTCATGTGGACTGTGAAATTTAAAAAATTATGAAAATGTTTCAAGTCAACATTTTTGAAATCCTACTAGACCTTTTAAACATTTATTTAACCTCAAGTATTACAAAGATGATGCTTCTAAAATGTTTTCAGTGAGTAATTGAAAATGAAAACTTACACTCGAGCTGTGCAACCACGTCTCCAGGGTCTACTGCGTCAGGGAACACCTGCAGCAAGGGCGAGAGCACAGCAGGGGCGGGGTGGGAAGAGGAAGCCAGAGAAGCTGTCAGTCAGGCTGTTTACCCAGTCCCATTCCCAAAATGTCTTTCCTTGTCCAACCAAAGAAAAACCTTGGTTTGTTTGGGGGGTTTGGTTTGGTTTGCTTTTGGTTTTTGAGAGAAAAAATTCATCATGTAGCCCAAGCTGGTCTTGAACTCTCAGTCCTTCTGCGGAAGCACCTCAAATCCTGGGGTTACAGGAATAAATCACCATGCCAACCCTCCAAACAAATCTTCAACAATAGTGAGAACTGCCAATTTCTCTCAGCTTTCCATGATTCCACAACTACATTTTCTAACTAGATCTGCCTCTCAGCAAAAGAATTCCTTACAGAATTCTTTGTGTTTGATAGCTCTCCCATCCCCCACTAGACCTCCAAATAACTGCTAGTCTCTTTGAAGCTTTGTTTAACAATAAAAAATATATTTCTCCCCTATTCTCTCACCCTTCTTTTATTGTATTTATGCATTTGTTTTGAGCTCCAAAAGAGATGGTTTTGTTTTGTTTATCATGTGTCATCAGTCCCTACAACAGTCCACAGAATAGAGAAGAACTTAAGATTTTTATCTGTGAAGAAAGCAAAAAGGGAAGAAGGGAGGGAAGGGAAGGGAGAAGGAGGGATGGAGGGAAGGAAGGGGGAAAGACTAGAAGACAAAATGAGTCCATCAAAAAAGGGAATATGATTGATAACAATTGCCAATAGCAGTCCTTTTAAGGAACATGAAGAGACACATGGCAAAACAGAAAAGCACAAGATATTCCTAAGTAAAACTGGTATATACTTACCTACTTGTGTCTTATTTTGTACAGAAGTTATTATTCAGCAGTCAAGATGTCGTGCTTTGCATGAAGCCCACTAAGATATTTTAGAAATAGGCTGCTTCGCATCAAAAGGCAATTGTTCAATGCATAATAAAAGGAATATTTTCAAAAGTCTAAATTTGTTACAACTTTCCTTTTGAATTAAACCAAAGTACATAGTCAGCAATAATAATTTGTGTTGCAAGATTTTATTCAAAACTGAAATCACTCGGATTTTTGTTGGTTAATACTTGATCTGACTTTTGAACTCACCTTTTCAAACACCATTCTGGCATTGAAGACCAGTGGGAAAGTGGCTGGGACACATTGTGTCTTTTTGTATTGGCCAAACACACAGATACTAAGATAGATGTCCTCCTTGTCTTTCAGCACCACTCCTGGACAAGTTACCTGAAAGCAATGAGATAAGTGGCTATAAATGCATTGTAATTCACTGAGTTATCCCACGAACATGGTAGCCAACAGCCGCTGCTCACCGGGATGGCTCACAGAGTTCAGAGAGTTGCTTTTATATTGTCTTTCCTCTTAGAAGCCTATTCTTTTCTATTTGGTAAATTGTGCCACATCTAAAACTATATAGTTGTTTGGAGGGCATGCCCTAATAATTTAATAATTTTAAACAGACAGAATCTGGATCTCATTTTCTACCAAATGATGACAAAGTTGCACAATATCACTTAATCACAAAGGAGTAACACCCAGCAGAAATAAAGCATTATATTCAAGAACAGAAACAAAATTGCAAAATGCATGGATCTGTTCCACAATGCCATGGAGAGTAGTTCATACATCCTCATCTAAGAATTGTTAGGATAAAGTTTCAAAGCCAAAAAAATCATTTTCTAACCTAATCAATTGTATTTTAAATATTAAATAGCATTTACCCATTCTCATTGTTTTGGTTACTTTTCTATTGCTGTGATAAGACACTATGAATAAGACAACTTATAGAAAAAAAGTTTACTAGAGGCTTACAGTTTCAGAGGGTTAGAAGCCATGGTGGAGAGTAGCAGGCAGGCAGGCATGGCATGGGGGCTGTAGTAGCTGAGAGCTTACATGATCCACAAGCATGAAACAAAAAAAGCTAACTGGGAATGGTTTGGACTTTTAAATCCTCAAAGCCCAACCCCCTTATACACCTGTTCCAATAAGGTCACACCTCCTAATCCTTCCCAAACAGTTCCATGTCCCACTAACATGGGACCAAGTATTCAAATATAGGAGCCTATAGTGACCTATAGTGACCATTCTCACTCAGATCACACTCATGATTGACAAAATGTGTGTAGGGAAAATGATGAGTTTCTAAATAGCACACAGCAGTCTCTTCAATCCCTGACACATTCTAGTATATTGTTCAGAAATACCATTAACAGGATACTAAAATTATTTAAGATTTGAATCCAATATAATAGTATTACATAATACTCCAACCCCTAACAATGTATTCAAAATATAAGGAGCCAGTTTTGGTAATCCTAATAACTGAAGGCTCTGAGGCAGAAGAAGCATAAATTCAGGAATATCTGGGCTACATAATGAAACCCTGTCTCAAGGAAGAATAGAATTTTTACTTCTTTTCCAAATATATAACCAATTTCTTACCCAACGTTCTTTCATTGCCTACATAATAAAAGTGTGATAGTGAGAGGACTTAATTCCAAGGAGTCAGCCAGTCTCAATCGAGTCACAGTCTCCAGGGCACCAGCCAGTTCCAATAGAGGTCACGTAGCCACAGTAGGAATCCCCCTTTCTGGCTTTAAAGAGGAGCCTTCGAGCTCCCCTCCGGGTTGCTGTTGCCAACATTTTGTGAAGGTGGTGACCCCAGGACGCTGGTTTTCGCTACAGAATAAACGTTCTTTGCTTTTACATACTACCTGACTAAGTCTGAGGTCTGCCTTCAGCAATTCTCAGACCTAACAATAGAAATTAAGAAGCAGGAATGCTGCTCCTTACTCTTCCATTCCACCTCATCTGCATTTACCTCTGCCACCCAACAAGCCATATGTGACTGTCATCACCTACCCAAAGCATCTCGACTCGCCAGTTATGATAATATCTCATTCAGACATCTGGAGATACCTTAATAGTACACAAATGACTTAAATTTTAACAGCAAAATTAAAAAAAAGATACAATCTAGACCTCAAAAAAAGAAATATGTTTGATTTTATGTATATGCATTATCAATGTACATGAGTTAATAGATTTATTCAGTCAGCTCTGTATTAAATACTGTTTTAATGTTCTTTGAAACTGTCACTACACTGTTTAATTTACTATTAGAAAATGGGCATCACTGTTTGAATACATCAGCCTTATCCAAAAGAGTAAATATTTATATCTCGAAAAAAAAAATTTAACAGCACTATCTAGTTCTTTCATAGTGAGACCATTATCCACATACATTGAAGAAACTGTCATGGATGTCATAGCTCTTTAATCTGGTTATAAATTCCCTGAGGACAGAGATTTATTTTTCCTCATCATTTATACCAAAAACATGAACTTTCAGAATTAAAAACTTCAGATTATTTAGTACAGCAACAGATATTTCATATATATGAACGTCAGAGTTACAAGAAAGTTAGTGATCAACAAGTAAATGTCTGATAAGATTAAATCAGCACATTTACAGCACTTGGGACCGTGCCTGACAGTTCATCTGTGCTATTCTCTAATACCGTTCCTATTAGAATGAAACCCTCATGGTTTGCCATGTCAGCACGGACTATGGCATTAATCAGAGGATTGAAATTTCATGTTTCTTGGTACATAGAAGTTGACAATATTTTTATGTCAGATATTTTGATTCCATTTTCTTCTCAACTACTCCATTTTATACTTTTTCCCTAATAATTTACAGCTGATCATGAAAATCGAGTTTCTCAGCAAATTTCATTCTGTTAGCTTCATTTCCCACTCTGATCAAAACTAAATCTGTCATTCTGTCCTCATTGAGTCCCTTTCCAATTTGTAACATACACAAAAGTGGTGGCCTGCAAGAAGGCTCATGGGTAAAGAAACTTGGTGACCCGAATTTGATCCAAAGTATAATCATCATAACTAAATTTTCAGGAAAAAAAAGCAATAGACATTAAAGAAAACAAATCTTAAAAGCAAAAGGAGAAAAAAAAAAAAATAACAGGAAACCAGAAAAAAAAATGGAATGGATAAGCTGAAAGAAGAGAACTTTCAAAAATAATTTAATAAACAGAAAAACCGTTCTTTACAAAGGGAGTAAAATATTGTCAGATAAACAAAGGAAATACTAACATAATTCTGGTAGTAAAGTATTAAAGTCTTTCAAGTAGACATTAAAGGATATTAGACAGGAACTCATATCTACATGAAGAAAGAGAGCAGCTGAGCTGAACTGTCTGTTTGTTATTTTTTTTCTGTCATTTTGAATCCTACCTATTTAAAAGACAATGGCAGGGCTGGGACAGTAGCTCAGTGACACAGGAATTTCCTACAGTGCATGAGGCCCTAGTTTCAACCCCCAGTAATTACAGAAAAACAAACAAAAAAAAAATCACATAAAGTAACAGTTACAAAACTGCTACAACTCAAACTCTGTGGGTCATAAGAAGAAAAAGAGGACCCTAAAGTTAGGAGAGGTGGCAGAGGTGGGGAGGAGTTAGGAGAAATGGGAAATATGATAAAACATACTGTATGCATGTATTAAAATCTCTAGTAATTTTTATATGTGCAAAGATATAATTATATGACAGTATTATAATAATGAAGGGAGGAAACAGAACAAAATAGTAACAAAAAAGGAATAAAAATGTTAATGTTACTGAAATTAAACTGACATTATTAATCCATATTGGATTAATATAAATTAAGATGTTAAATGCAAACTTCAAATCAATCTTTTAGCAAAAAGAAACTAAAATGAAACAATCAAAAAGTAATTGTCAAATCACAGTTGACACCAGCTTGCAAAGACATACATACACAAAGCACATTTAAAGGCAGGCCTGTGCCCAGCTGTAGATGTCAACATAAAACCAACTCAATGGTATTTTTTGGAGATTTTGCCCCACATTGCTTTCTTTGGACAATTTTTATCTTATTGTTCTCTTGCTTCTATATTATAGTTCCCTCTTTAGTGTTTTGTGAGGTTTGTTTTGTATATGTTTCTTGTGGGTTTGGGGGAGCTAGTTTGTTTGCCTGTTTGTTTTCTAAAAAGAGAGAAAGGGCATGGAGGTGGGTGGTGGGGGCATGGAGAGGATCTGAGAGAAACTGTGGAAAGAGGAGATGTGATTAAACTATATCAGGATATATACTGAAAATTTTCAGTAAGAAATAATTTTTAAATGTTATTATGAACCTCATATCAATCATTCACAAAAAGAAACTAAAATGAAACGATAAAAAAGAACAAAAGTCGATGGCTATGGTGGTTTGAATAAAAATAGCCCCCTAGGCTTACTGGGAGTGACACTATTTGAAAGAATTAGGATGGCCTTGTGGCCTTATTGGAGAAAGTAGTTCACTGGTGGTGGGCTTGGATGTACCAAAGCTTAAGACAAGCACAGTGGCTCTCTCTTTCTGAGAGAGAGAGAGAGAGAGAGAGATTCTTGCCAGATCCAGATGTAGAACTGTGAGTCACCTCTCCAGCACCATCTCTGCCTGAGTGCTGCCATGCTTCCTGCCAGGAAGATAATGGACTAAACATCTAAACTGTAAGCAAGCCCCAATTAAATTTTTTCTTTATATGAGTGGCTGTGGTTATGGTGTCCCTTCACAGTAATAGACAGATACACTAATGAAAGAAACAAAGTCCTAAGACACAGACAACAAATAGCAAAATGACAGCAGTAAATCTATCTTTCCTACAACTGCATTAAAGGGAAGTTCACTAGCCACACCTATCAAAAGGTACAGGCAGAATGAATTAAAAACCATCACTCAGCTTCATATTGCTAGAGGTGAACAAAGAGCAGCTGGATGTTAGACTCCAAGGCCCTTCCCAACAATAAGTCCTGAAGGTCCTCAGGGAAAATTAACTGTTCACTGTGAAACATGGAAAATATGAGCATCCTGCTAAGTGAGAACCCATAGCCAGATCCAGACTTCACAGAAACAGCCTCATGAATGAATGTAAGCCCAACAATACAGCAGTTTAAGAGCCACAGAGTAAAATTAGAGGAAGTATACACAAGTACATTTAGAAGTTCTGCAGCAAATCCTGGGAATAGAGGCAAGACACACCATCCTCCCTAGTTTCCTCACACCATGGGAAATCTTATCCCAAATCCACGAGGGGCTGGAGAGATGCTCTGTGGTGAGGAGGGCACACTGTTTTCCCGTTCAGTTCCTGGCATCCACCTTACAACTACCACTACCTCCAGCTCTAGGGGAGCCAAGCCCTCTTCTGG